AAGGAGTGTCTGGACATTGCAGGTGGCGACACGGGTCTTTCGACGAAGGTCGATCCGTACTCGTTGGTCGGGGGCAGGCTGGGGTCCGTTACCGTGTTGGTCAGTCCGGCTTCTTTCTCTGGTCAGTTTCGTAACAAAGGGGGTTTCTCCTGGGTGGGTTGTTAGCCCTCCGCAGGATAGTCGGTTGGCGGGGCTGCCGCCTCACAGCGTACCAACACGCTGGGGTCTTTGTTTGTCTGGAACCTACCCTGGAGACCGGCCTGCCATGGGTGACCCTACCAGGAGCAAGCTCCCGACGGTATCGCTCTCCAGGGTCACTGGAACACACAAGCCCCCTCGCCGCATCAAGGCCAGACCAATTCGAGGGAGTATTACATTATGACATCTCATTAATTTATTTACTTAAATCTGATTTGTATAATTATTTTGCGGTTTGCTTTTGGACCTGTTTTTGGACACAGCAAGTGGGTTGCGCATTTTCTGGTCAACATGGTGGCCAACATGATTGTTAGGAATTGGCTGAAGAGTAACATAAAAAATATATGCAGTATATCTATGTATATATGGTATTTCAACAACGAAGAGTGTGAGGGACAAGTGGCTAGGATGTCCTTGTTTTATGTTATGTGTTGTGTTTGTTGTTTTACTTTATGTTAACTGTTTTGTGGGGCACTTTGTTAAAGCTGCGGAAGCGCTACATAAATTAGGATGTTTGTATTGTATGTGCTGAACTGGTGAATCAGAATAACGAATGCTGTTCGTTATTGCATAAAATTGTGGTGTTTTAAGTGCGCACACGGCAACGAAGCAGCTATAGGTGCAGCTTCTGTTTTGTTTATTTCTTTATTTTTGTTTTTGAGAGGGGGGACTTGCTGACTATCAGCAACATGATAACGTTTTAGGTTAAGTTCACTTCTGTTGAATATGCGGCAACAAATTCCAATGTGGCGAAAAACGACGGAGCTATATTGCAAGATGGGGTTTATGTCAGCACTGACAGTGAACCCATCTGGTTCGGAAACATTATACAACCTATGGTTTTAACCAATGTTTTAATACGCTACATTTCGAGCTACATTTCCATTTCATGGAATGGGTAAAAAATTTACGGCAATGGAACACATTTTGTGAACAGGTTAATTGATAAAATAGAATGCATGTTTCACATTTTATTTGAGACACTATTGCTCCTGCCGTCCACAATCTGCAAGATTGGTAGCAAGTATGAAATTCTATGGTTAATATTCAATTAAAGAAATTGAATTGAATTTGGATTGAAATTGAATTGATTTATTTGTCAATGTTATGAGAATGGTGTCTTCTTCTTTGTTTGAAATATTGTTTGGGAGACCATATAAATTACTGATATTTTCTACACAATTGTGAACTGGGAACTGAAGCTAATTCAGCTGACTATATGTGAGAAAGTTTATGAAAAAAAAAAAAAGAAATGAATTGAGATTGCTGTAGGAGGATTGTGCTTTTTCACAGCAGGACGAAATGGTGGTTCCAGCAGACCTGGCTCTGATTTGAAACATGAAAAAGAAACATTGAACTTTTTTGAAGTGTTGCTGACCACACCGATTGATGGACATTGTAAAAAGGTCATCTCGATAGAAACATCCACCGAGGAAGGTGAGTGAAGTCCGGTGACGCGATGGGCACAGTATTTTAGGTACTAGGAACGACCGGCGGAAGAAGTTTCAAGACACCTTTGCACTCATTTAGGGTGTGTTTCTGTCGACATGTTAGAATATCAGTGGTGGCATGTCATTTCCTGTTATATGATCACACTAACATATGGACAACTGTACTGATCTTCTCCTTTTTTATATGGTATTTGTGCTCTCCTTTAGCACATATGAAAGGGGATGTATTTCTTGATAATAACCTACATTATAATAACCTACATTTTGCTCATAGACCTAGACCAGGGGTGTCAAACTCATTTTTGTCACGGGCCGCTTTGGGGTTACACCTTCCTTCCGTGGGCCGGTACGACGGTGAAATTTAATTAAATGGTTATATATTATTAATTGTACAACTCAACTCAACTGTGTTCATAGAGCAACTTAAATACACCATCACTGTTTACAAAGTGATGTACATGGAGTGAATATCAGACATACAATGATGAAATGATTTATTAATAACAATTGTGAAACCAGTCATATTTTGTTCAATTATTGTTTGAGTGAGTGTTAACAGGTTACAAAATTATCAAAAAAATTGAGAAGTGAACACACCTAGCATGATAAAAAAGAGCACGACTTGTTTTATTCGGTTTTGTTTTGGAGGATGAAGTGATTTATGAATTGTGCTCCTCTGTTGATGTTGTTGGGCTGAATTTGAATTTATTACTGTTTATTGATTTATTTCGAGTTCAAATGGTGCATTAATTTGGTCATAAAGGTTCAGATATGGATTTTAAATACTGGGTAAATTTTTTAGGTGATTTTATGCAGTTTAGGATCTTTTCTTTTATGGTAAAAGGAAAAAAGAAAACAACCCGACGTTAATATAGTTGTTCTCTGCTGAAAGTTGAACTATATTTCTTTCTTTTGTGATTTTATTTTTATTTTATGTTAATGTGGATACAATGTAATGTAGTAGTGTACTTCTACCAATTTTGAAGGCAAATGATGATTATTGCGGCCGAGAATTTTTCTTTTTCTTTGCGAAGAATCATGAAAGAGCTCTGCTTTAAGGGTTGTCACAAGTGTTTGCGCATTGGTGTCACTGCTTTACCAATGACTATGTTTCCGTCCACAGGAGAGGATATTTGAGATTCCACCTACGTTGGTGTAATTGGAGTTCCTCGTGGCGTACCAGATGAGTATAAATTGGTTAACCAGGTTGCTGCACGGTGGGGATCCATTTTTATAAATGTGCTGACGGGATCTGCTACCTCCGCTACAGTGTCAAGAAGCTTGCAAATTATACTGAGGAAGCCTTTTTTGGCGATTGAAAGTAAAACAATTGACAGTCACCTCTCTGATGGTGTTCCGGGACCGCATAGCGGTCAATGTGCTCTTGGCTGAGGCCAATCGAGCGTGTGCGGTGTGTGGTGAGCGGTGCGGTTCAACCACGCCCTGAGGGCCCCGCACACCGAACCGGATCATTCCGGCGTGACCACGCCCTTGTCATCAGAGTTATGGTTATGGAGTGAGACCTTTGTCACGTAACATACTGGTGTGTTATGTCTTAATCTTTCAAATTCTTTTCTCTCAGCTATCTCGACATTGTGTGGTTGCTGCAGTCCCTGTATCAAAAGCTCTGCTTATCCAATTTATCACTACGGTTATGGCGCCCACGACGTCTAAAGTGAATGGAATGTACCCTCTGCTGTTGCTTTTGGGATGGCAGTGATTCTGATGTGGAAAACAACTCGGGTTATGGTGACTTGTATTCATTTAGGTATCAGGATGTCGTGGACGATGTTTACCATCTTTTCCTGGGTTCTTTTTCGGTCTCATTTTTGATCTGGTGATAACCTCTTTCTTTTCAACCCCTGGGTCTACCTATGTTTGCATGTGCATGACTCCCTATGTTTGCATATGCATGACTCCACTGAATAAAGTCCGTCAGGAAGGTTCTGTGTGATGATATGAGCAAATGTAGGATATACAGGGGGGAATGATGCATTGATTATTTTTAGTTATCATACATTTGCTTATTATTAATGTTATTATTGTTATTTTGATATTGATTGATTGATTGATTATGCTCGCAAAGAAGAAAGCTTATGCCTGCAATGATAAATTCATTATGCTTGCAAAGATGAACGCTTATGCCTGCAATCATTAATTGACTATGCCTGCAATGAAGAACGCTTATGCTTCTAATAAAAATATATTAATCATTATGTACTCACATTTATAATCCTTTGTATTATATTTATATACTCACATTTATAACCAAGAATGCTTAGTACACTGTGTGGAAGTTTAGGGACGCAAACACCTTTCCGAGGACGTGGTTGGGTCCATCAGCCCCCACCCTTTAGGCTGGACACACCTATGTAGTAGATTTCCCAATAAATGAGGGGGTGAAGGGGGAGATCGTGAGGGGTGACGTGCCGAGAACTGAAACCGAACGCTTCTCCTCGTTCCCTCCTGGTACTAGAATTGAGTCTCCTGTCTCCTCCTTGTGTTTTATTCCCAAGTGTCAAATTGGATAAACCTGACAGGTAATGAAGCATCTTCACGAATAGCTTCACGTTTCTGTTGCCGTGCTTGCGTCCTGGCTGTAACGTGTGAGTCTTCCAGTTACTTGTGTGAAATAACCTCCAAGCGCACCCTGGTTCACTGCTTCAAATTATTCATTGCTGTACCTTAAAACCATTCATACCTTTAAATATACATTTATTTTTCACTATATAGCACTATTCAAGAGACAACCAGGCATGAAGTTTTGACACAAACCTTTATTTTGAAAAACAAAAAGGATTTTTGAGCAAAAAAAAACAAAACAAAAAACAATAAACAAACAAAAAAAAAAAGGAATTCAAAAGTGCTTTTTTGGCAATTTCTAAAAAAAAATACCTCTTGTGTTGGTCTGGTGTTTATTGTGTGTTGTCTTTCAGATCTTAAAGGCTTGGTGTTGTGATTTGTTATTCTGATTTAACAGCGTGGGATTACATGCTACTTCTAAGAAGCGTAATCCCAACTAATCTGGGATTCAGTTTCACTCTAAACTGTCGATCACAAACTCAGACTGGACAGGAAAGACACTATGGAGATGCAAAACGTCTGTGTAAGGACAATATTTCTTGAATGAAAGATGTATTTTCTGGCTTTCCTTCACATTCCACTATATCATTTCTTGGTCGTCCACTCCTGCCCATCTTTATGTACCTGCATTTATGGGACCACAGGAACAGCAGACCTCAGGTTGAGTGAGACTTTTTTCACTTATTTGCTCATTTGAGATGTATTTCTTTTGTGTTTCAAATATATCGTATTTCAAGAATGACTCTTGTTTCCTAATTGTATCCATGAATTTATTTCCAAACGGGAATGTTTTCTCTCTCTCTCTCTCTCTCTCTCTCTCTCTCTCTCTCTCCCTCTCCCTCTCTCTCTCTCTCTCTCCCCCCCTCTCTCTCTCTTGCTCTCTTACCCCCCTTCTCTCGTGTATTAACGTGGACAACATACGTATCTAATTATGCACTGTATTTAATCACATTTTAATCGTACAGCAATATTTGTCTCAAAAAGTAAACTTCTTTTTTAATTGAACTGAATTTTAGTGGATGACTGAAACAACACAGACACATATGCACAAACAAATGGTGTTGGCTCGGGAAAAAAATATTACATTTTATTACAAAACAGCAGGAAAATAAATAGACGCAAAGGAGTAAAATGTTTTTGCTTCCAAGATGCAACAACTGGCGTTCCCAAATTGTTAAAGTCTATAACTGTCACAGAAAGTGGACTCAGACAAATCGCTTCCATGTAAACCAGGCATGTCATGTAAATCAGCAAGATCTGAAAAAGCTTGATAACAATCCTGATCATTTGAATCAGGTGTTTGTTTGTTTGTTTATTGAACATATATAGAACATACAACACAATAACAGATTGACAAAAGTGAAGGCAAGTAAAAATTATAAAAGGAAAAAAAAATAAAAACAGGCATCATCACAGTTATATGTTCAAAGGAGTAGGAAGAAGTAAATAACTTATCTAGTCCTACCCCTTGTTATGTAGTAATATGAATTGATCTTTTTTCAATACAAAGAAGAAAAAGAAAAAATCTACATATCATCAAATACTTTTACCCTTATGTGTACTGTACTTATCTATTTATACACCTTTCGGTTTGTATATATATAATTATTCTTTCTCCTTTTTATACCAATTTCCTCATATTCATTATAAATACTGCATTTCTTTAATACATTTAATAAGTTGATCAATGTAATTCTGTTGTATTACTATATTTTAAGTATATCAAATTTATATTCTTGACTCTGATTTGTGTAGTTTTTTGTACAAATCTTTTGAATTTGTTTTTGAACTCATCCAGCGATTTAGTCATTTTTCAGGTCCGTTTCGAACTTATTCCACAGATTGACACCTATTACTGAAACACACCTTTGCTTGATGTTTGTTCTTGTTTTGGATTTTTTGTATTGATTAGTACCCCTGAGATTATCACAACTATCTCTAATTTCAAAAAGCTTCTGGATGTTTTGGCAAAGGAGATTATTATGTGCTTTATACATTAATTGGGCGATTTTGAAGTCAACCAGGTTATAGAATTTCATTGTGTTTGATTTGATGAATAGTGGATGTGTGGGTCCTATATATTTAGACCTATTGATTATTCTAATTGCTTTTTTTTGTAGTTTTAAGACAGGGAGTGTGTTTGTTTTACAAGCGTTCCCCCATATTTCCACATAGTAGGTCATATATGGGAGTAATAATGAGTAATATAACGTGTACAAAGAACTCTTATTCAACACATCCTTAGTTTTGTGGAGGATCCCTATAGTTTTGGATATTTTTCTTTTAACGTTATCTATGTGTGGCTTCCAGGATAGTTTAGTATCTATTACTAATCCAAGAAACTTATTTTCATAAACTCGTTCTATT